CTTCTTGCGTCTTTGGGGGAGTTAAGGTGGCGAGGGGATTGAAGTAGATAAGGGGTTTGGCAATATGAGAATCAGGGCTGAAGGGTGGTATTTTCTGAATCTCTAATGAGGGGATTGGCCTCAGCTTATATAGTGAACCGTAGGGGCCCGAATCCTAGTAGGACTCTGAGTCTACTTAGTAGGGAACTCCCTTTTCGGGAAGAGATCAGATTTTTGCCTTTATCTATCAAGGCTTTCGTGTTTGGGTGAGATACAGGGTCTTGTCAGAAGAGGAATTTGGTTAGGATTTTGATCCTGGTTATGGACTGTTACGGGTGAATGGGTCGGACCCAATTCAACTTAACTCGGGAGATGACCCAACTCATAGAGCAGGCAGATCCCAAGGTATTCTAAGCGTGGGCCCAATCAGGATTGGGCCAAGGCTCTAGGCTGTCACTTATTACTGTTATGGTTGGACCTCATCAGGCCCAATACAAATTTTGGCCCATACATAAACTAGAAACAAATACCATGTTAACAGTTAGTTTTGCAAGTCGATAACTGGGACCGGAGTAGTTTTTCTATTTCTTTTATCAATCTTGCAAATTTCTTTTGCATCATCAAATCAAATATCAGTTTGTACAAGAAAGTTCTGCCTCCCTTGTTTGATACTTCTCCTTAATTAGGGTTTCTGGTTTATACTACGTTGGTTCTATTGTTGTAAGTTTGTCTTTCTGAAAAGTCAGTTAGCCTTTAATTTTCATTTATTTAATTTATTTCTGATACGATGATCCAACTATTATTTGTTGCTTTAATAAGGGTTTCTGGTTTATACTCCCCTTGTTTTATTTGTTGCTTTTATTTCTGCAAGTTATAGCTTATTGAACATGGTAATGGAATATAATTCCACCCACTTCACACCACTACACATTACGCAATGTGAAACTTGTTACACAGAGTCAATATGAAGGGTCTTTTATAGACGGTAAAATCTACGGTTGATTCTGAATAGACGGATTTTGTGTGAAGTGAGCCACCGACAATCGGATGGACCTATATTGAAAGGAAGAGCAAACGTGCAGGCTTGGGTTACATTGATGTGGTGTCTATTATAGGCACTCCGACGCTTAAGTAAGCACGGTTGAAGGTATTTAGTGAGGGCTGAGAAGGAGAAGGGTTTATCGAAATAATGTGGCTAGGGCTAGACTAACACAAAGTGGTCGAAGCATTGAAGCTAGTAAAGTTAGGGGGGAAACTGTGATTCTTGGGAGCAAGAATTTGGGAGATAAGCTATGGGTGATTTCTAAATGACTAATGAGAGGGTTTGCTCCTGTTTATATAGTGAACCAAGGAGGTTGGAGTCTTGGGACTCTGAGTCCTATTTGGCAGAAGAGTTCCAATTCGGAAGGAAGTCTTGTGACTTGCCTAGCAAGTGAGATTTTGGATCTTGATTGAAGTGGAAAGCAAATAGGATTCTGATTTCTATTTTGGGACGAATGTGGGCTAATGGGCTAAAGCTCGATTTAGCTTAACTTGTAGGATAACCACCAACTCATAGAGTGATCAGTTCATAAGGCGAATTTAAGCGTACGCCCAACCAAAATTGTGTTAAGGCATTGCGCCATAATGTGTTTATTTCGTTATTGAACTTTGTAAGGCCCACTACAATTTTTGGCTCATACAACTTGTCATCAACCTGAATTATGCTAAGAAGATAACTCTTATGAGAACTTGCTCAAACACCGTGCCTAATGGAGAGAAATAGGGGATGGTAAGAACCATCTTCATTGAATGCTCTCATATTCACATGTTAGTTATTATGTTTAGGAATAAATATAGGTTGACAAACACTTCTTACAACTTTCTCTTTCAAATGTTGACGTGACAACTCACAATTGGTCAATTCGCATTTGGTTAGATGGGACCCATTTGTTGGGTAGGTGGGACCCATTACGAATTAACCCATTACGAGCTGACACGTCACGTTTGTGAGAGAAAGTTATTAAAAAGAGTTTGTGAGTGTAGTATTACTATATGTTTAGAAGGTCGATAACCATAACTTACTTTCTCAATAGATCAAGCAACCTTTAATTCTCATCTAACGTTGTGAACTACATTCATCCTCAATGCCATTTTCTTTAAGTGTTTTGGGAGTTTGATCAAAGGATTGCCAAATTCGTGGAGAAATCTAGGTTACTTTAAATCAGTATCTAATTTATTATTACTTTCCACAATCAATTAAATTTATTTATTTATTTATTTTTAGCTTAAATTATGTTGGCACGAACCAATTTCATTTAGGCTACTGTAAGTTGGGTCATAAAAGAAAGGAATTGTTTAGCCAAGAAAAGAAGACAATACAAGAAAGATACGGACTTTTGCATAAGCTTAAGTAATAATGCAAGTGGAAGTTACTGGTATCATGTGCACCTGACGTCAATATTGAGTGTCACTAACAAAGGTCTTATTGGGTCATGTCAAAGAACATTCAAGTTGACAGCAAGAAGCAGAGCTTGTTTTATGGTAGGAATCTGTGTCATAATTAGGGGTGTTCGGTTATGGGTATCCTATATTTTTTGAAGGAACTAGAACCGACATAATTAGGGGTGTTCGGTTTCGGGTACCCTGTGTTTTTTGAAAGAACTGAAACCGACGGTTCTGGTTCCTAAGTACCCAGAAGTAGAACCTATAACAACAGTTCCAGTTCCGGTTCTGGGTACCCTATAAAATTACAATGACCCCCCAAAAGTTTTTAAGATGGTAAAAAAACCCTTAAAAACTTACAAATACCCCCCCACTTGGAACTTGTTAACAAAAATAAAATTACAAATTATAAATTCAAAATTACAAACTCCATTACTTTGTAAACATAGATTCTCAAAAGTCAAACCAACTTACTTTAAATGTTATGAAATATAAATATAATTGTATTCACATTACTTTTTCTACAAAAGTTTTTATTAACCCCCAAGTCTTTAATTTTATTTTATATTAGTCTCGGTTCCAATTGTATTTACATTACTTTTTCTACAAAAGTTTTTATTAACCCCCAAGTCTTTAATTTTATTTTATATTAGTCTCGGTTTCAGATTCCGATTCCAGTTCCTAACTGTAAGAACCGGAACCGAAACTGCACAGTAACGGTTCCAAAAATTTGGAACCGAAACCTACATGTTGACGACTGGTTCTGGGTAGGAACCAGAATCAATCCCCAGATATCCGTCGATTTTGATTCTAATCGGTTCTTTTGAACACCCGGGGTCATAATAGCTAGCCTTAAGGACCACTTGAAAAAACAAAAGTGAAATGGACAAACTTAGACGACCTTGACCTGCTTTCCCAGCTTCCTATGCTATAACACAGCACCACTCAACGGGCCAAGCCTTATCACGTGGTCCCTTTTCTGATGGTATTGCCAAGGATTGCTTCTCGACATTTGTGGTGTTCATTTTCCTAAAGGTTTTCATATCTTATTAATTATTATGATATCGATCAATGAAATCAAATTATGAATATGATGTAAAATTTGTTTCAACTGGAGATTTCAAATATAATTTGCTTTTTTTTTTTTGCTAAAACTAATTTTTTTTTTTTTTTTTTTTGTACTTAGTAGATTTAAATTAGCCCCCAAACAAGACTAGTTCGCTGAGTATAAACTCAGCGTACACTTGCAGCCAATGGGCAATTTTACCATTCGGTTAGTTGTAGTTCATTCAGTGTGGATATTATTTCACACCAAATATACAAAACGAAACTTGCAAATCAGAGTCAAAATTGGCAAGATATCGCTTGTAAATCAACTTGAGAAACATGTGGATCGCACTAGAATTTGGGACCACTAGTAAATGAACAAACAAGTGAACAACTAAAAGTACGTCTTCATACTTTTAGTTGTACTCGCTCACATCTCACACCCTTAGATAACGGGGAGAGAAGAACAGGAAGAACTATGTTCATTAGACGCACCGAGACTCACATATTACTTATTCAGCTCATTTTGTATCCATTTTTATCCTGTTGTCATCTACCTTTCTGTTCTGCGAAAGATACCTTAACATTGATTGATTCCATTAGTGATCAACAGCGATTTGAATTAGGATTTTCACCCCTGATAGGAGGTCTGATAAGAAAAGATACGTGGGAAATTGAAGTATTATAGGTTTATATCTGTTAAGCCTACAAAATCAGGCAGAGAAATTTTTGGGCTCCGCCACTGATGGAACGTAACCTGCTCCTTTATTGAAGTTGCTTTCCATGTTGTCAGCGAAGGAAACAGAGACAACAAAATCAGGCGGAGAAATTTTTGGGCTCCGCCACTAATGGAACGTAACCTGCTCCTTTGCTCCTTTATTGAAGTTGCTTTCCATGTTGTTAGCGAAGGAAATAGAGACACCAGCGAGAACAAAATAACAAGAAAGCAAATCATAGATAATAAACATAAAGAAAATAACATATGCGATTTATCTTGATTAATCCAATATAGGTTACGTCCAGTCAAATTAAACAAAATAACAAGAAAGCAAATCATAGATAATAAACACAAAGAAAATAACATACGCGATTTATTTTGATTAACTCAATATAGGTTACGTCTAGTCAAATTAATATTATTGCAATATTTTCTCTCTTTTCATTTTACAATAAATGAATTGTTCTATGATTTGCTATCACACACATAATAAAAGAAAAATATATTTATATACTAGGTTTAAGTGACAAAACATAGTTTTACAATGATTCTTATTTCTAAGCTCAACTCAATAAGAAATTAATAACTTTCTTATTAACTTAAAGAAATCCTCGGGTTATACATGAAAAAAATACAAACGCCTACGTACGGGACAACTCCAACAGTCACACACTAAATAGTGTAATTATACAACGAACTAAATAATCTCAAAGAACAGCATACTTTTTTGTCTGAATGAAATAATCCACTTGATATCATGAAGAAGACACTCCTACATAAAACGTTTCAAAAACGGTAATTAGCAGAAGAGATAGGCCCGAGAGGAGTCATCATGAGATCGACTCCTAATCAAAATCACCTCCCATCCACCATATGTGTTCTGTATACATTATTGTCATGTTCATTGCTTCTTTATTGCTCTGCCAGAGATACTATTTCAGTAAACACTTCGCTTAAAGATGGAGAAACCCTTGTGTCAGCTGGACAGAGATTTGAACTGGGATTCTTTACCCCTCCTAAAAGCTCTGATATAAGATACGTTGGAATATGGTACTTCAAGTCAAAGCCACGAATAGTTGTATGGGTTGCCAATCGAGAAAGCCATCTTCCCGATTCCAATGGATCATTTGTTATTGCAAATGACGGCAACCTCAAGGTATTGGATGCAGCTGGAATTGCTTACTGGAATACAAATCTTAAAAGTTCGCTGCCTGGCGTCCGGGAAGCGAAGCTCATGGATTCAGGAAATTTGGTTCTAAGCGACAGTCAATTGGAAACAAGTCCATGGCAGAGCTTTGAACACCCAACCGATACGTTTCTTGCCGGTATGAAGATGACTGAAAATATATCGTTGAGGTCATGGCTCAGTGAAGATAATCCAGGAGAAGGCAATTTCAGTTTTAAGATGGTTCAAGGAGTAAACCCGTATCTCATCTTGAAAGGAAATATCACATACTGGACAAGTGGGAAGTCCGGAGATTTCTTTAGGTCCTATGAAATAGCTTACTTGTTATCAAACTTCAGTAAGAGTACTCTCAAATCTACAGATTCCAAATCTCTCTTTTACGGGTTAAAAAATATTTCAAACATAGACTATAGCCACACGAGGCTTGTCATGCATTTTACTGGGCAGATACAGTTTTGGAAAAAAGATAAGATGAAGGATTGGTCTTTGATGTTGTCGGAACCAAGCGATCCATGTAGAGTATATAGTTATTGTGGAAACTTCGGCAGCTGTAATAGTAACAACAGGGTGAAGTGCAAATGCTTGCCAGGCTTCAAGGCCAAGTCACCTGAAAAGTGGAATTCTGGCGATTTTTCAGGTGGCTGTACAAGAAAAAATCCAATTTGTGCTGCAAATGACATGGTATTCGGCTTGAAAATGATGAAACTGGATAACACAGACATACGAATTCCAGACGCAAGAACTGAAAGTGAATGCCAGCGTGCGTGTTATAACGAGTGCCAGTGCCAGGCATATTCATTTGTTAAAGCCACGCTAAGAGAAGACCCTGTATGCTGGATTTGGAAACAGGATTTGAATGATCTTCAGGAAGAGTATGCCAATGGGGGTCGAGACATCTATGTCCGTGTGGCACCTTCTGATATAGGTATCTCTCTTTTTTTACATCAAAACCAACAAAGGAGTTTGTATAGCGTTGATCAGACACAGCCACAAACAGGAACACTAGCTGATGACTTAAAGTTCGAAAAATGGCTCATTAATTTTGAAAGATAGCACAAAAGCAAAAATCCATCACCTGATATATTTAGTTGGTGTTTGGCCCATTTTCTTTTATTTTATTCCCTGTTTTCCCCCCTTTAATTAGATTTTCTGGCTCAGTTTTTTACTAGTTCTAAAAACTAATGTTAAGTATTTACCTAAGTTTTTGTTGAAGTGGTATCTTAACATGTAACAATTTAAGTGTTATATTCTTTGCTGCAGAATCAACAGAAAGAAATTGTAAGACTTGTGGTACAAACCTAATTCCATACCCTCTAAGCACTGAGCCATCTTGTGGAGATCCCAATTACTTCAGCTTTGTCTGTGACACCTCCACCGGGCAAGTTAGCTTCAAAGCACTGAGTGGCACCTACCGAATTGCTAGAATAGATCCAGATACAAGAAATTTCAGTATCCAAATAAAGCGCGTAGATGCAAGGAATTCAGAAGGAATTTTGAAGCTCAACCTATCATTGCCATTTTATATTTTGACCAACGGGTTTGACGCCGGCCAGGAAGATAGTAGTTATGGTAATTCATCTAACAGTGCAAGTGAAGTAGTGATTTATTGGACGCCACCACTGGAGCCAACATGTAGTACACAAAAAGATTGTATAAATTGGCCTCATTCAACATGCAAATTAGCAGGCAATCGAGTAAGGAAGTGCCTCTGCAGTGAAACTCATCGATGGGATGGCCTTTTGTTAAATTGCACTTCAGGTAAGAATGTTCTGAATTCATGAAAAGGTTACGTTGTCCATTCGTGCATGCTAAATTTACCTTGTAGATAAAGAAGAGATTGGCCTTCCAAGCTAGCTAGGAGTGATATACATTGTGTGATGCAAAAGAAATGAGAAAATTATCTTGTATTTTCTGATTGTAGTTCTTATGTGATTGGGCTCTGGCATTCAGAATTCTGCAATGATCATCGTGTTATACTATAATAAATAATTTAGTGAGGCTATTCATTTTCATTCTTACAGTGAATCCAGATGAAGGTGGTCACACTTTGCAAAATGGACGCTCTGATGTAAGAAAGAAGCAATGGATCCTGACTGTTGGAGTGATTGTTGCTAGTGTGATAGTTCTGTTCATCATTGTTTACTTTTTCTGTCAAAGAAAGAAAACCCAAACACAAGGTAACTGTATCAATTATGCACATAATAATTATCCAACTAAACATAATTGAACAATATTTTAATGGTTCTTCGATTTAAATGGCACCTGGCTGAGATATGCTGTTGATTTTTTTATTCAGAAGACAGAGAAAGCCTTCAACAAAATCTGGCTGTTCGTTTCAATGACAGTGCAAGGCACGTGAAGGGCTTGGTAGACACGGACCAATTCAGAGAAGAAGATAAGAAAGGCATAGATTTGCCTTTTTTTGATTTTGAAAGCATACTGGCCGCTACAGATAATTTCTCAGAAGCAAACAAGCTCGGAAAAGGGGGGTTTGGGCCTGTTTACAAGGTAAATATTCACAGGAGTCATCAGTACGTCTAGTCATATGTACAATCATTCTCATAACAAATTTGACCGCAGGGTAAGTTTCCAGGAGGTCAAGAAATTGCTGTAAAGAGGCTCTCAAGTGTTTCAGGACAGGGTTTGGAGGAGTTTAAGAATGAAGTAGTGTTGATTGCAAGGCTTCAACATCGTAATCTCGTTAAGCTTTTGGGTTACTGCGTAGAAGGGGGTGAAAAGATTTTACTCTATGAATATATGCCCAACAAAAGCTTAGACTCCTTTATATTTGGTAAGCCACGAGACTAGCATGTCTGAACTATCTATTGATCAAACTTTTATTTTGCTTTATTGAAAATTACCATAGTCACGGACATATGTTTTTTAATATGAGACAAATAAATTTCAGATCCTACATGCAGTGTTTTGTTGGACTGGGAGATGCGCTTCAACATCATTTTAGGAATTGCTCGAGGAATTCTCTATCTTCATCAAGATTCTAGGCTTAGAATCATTCATAGAGATCTAAAAACAAGTAACGTATTATTAGATCAAGAAATGAATCCTAAAATATCTGACTTTGGCTTGGCCAGGATTTTTGAAGGCAAACAAACAGAGGGGAGTACAAATCGAGTGGTCGGAACTTAGTAAGTTTTCACAATTCTCCAATTCAATTGGGAAAAATATGTACAATTGTAATTAATCCAATAAAATCAATATATCATGATAAAATTTTATTATTTTAATTGATGCAGTGGCTATATGTCTCCGGAATATGCACTAGACGGATATTTCTCAATCAAATCGGATGTCTTTAGCTTTGGTGTTGTTGTACTTGAGATTGTCAGTGGAAAAAAGAACACGGGATTTTATAACTCAGAAGAGGCATTGAGTCTTCTAGGCTATGTAAGTGGCTAGCCCTGTATTATCATGTAACTAATTCTCCTTTTGGCCAATTTCTTCATATTGTTTCAGTTTAAAACTTTCAGGCGTGGAGATTGTGGCGAGAAGACAAGGCACTGGATATAATGGACCAAAAATTAAGTCCAAGTTTCAACAAAATTGAAGTTTTAAAGTGCATAAATGTTGGACTCTTATGTGTGCAAGAAGACCCAAATGATCGTCCCACCATGTCCAATGTTGTTATCATGCTTGGCAGTGAAACTGCGACCCTTGCAACTCCTAAACAACCAGCCTTCATTATAAGGAGAGGGCCTTCTACTTCAGCCTCTTCCTCCAGTAAACCAAATATTAATTCCGAGTTGACTGTTAGTTTAACAGGTCGATAGTTCTTATTGTCTTTGTCCTTTTATTTATCAATCTGGAAAACTCTTGTGCATCAAATAACTGTTCTCTACAGAAAGTTCAGGATTGTGGTTTATATCCTCAAGTTTTCATTATTGTAGGGATTGCCTCTTGAAGTATCAGATGGCCTATAATTTCACTAATATTAATTTGTAATATCATGATCCAAATATCACATCTAATATTAGGATTCTATTATTAATTGAGTCTCTTGAGTCTTGACTCTCTTGTGCATCTCATGTCATACCTTTGTTTTTCAACGTGCGTTGTTATCATTTGCTATATTATTTTTTATTTCCTATTGATAGTGTTACGCAATCACACACAAACTTAGATCCTAAAACACAATCAACCAACAATAATACCAACAAAACACAGAGATTACCGTGGTTCACTTATCCTTTTATGGATAAGCTACATCCACGTTGAGCTCAGGAATGGTAGAGCTCGCTGCACTTACTATTACCAAGAAGTATCAAGATTACAACAGATTCAACAATCACCCAAAATCAGTACAACGTAAACTGCAATCAACCTAATGAGATACCCACTGAGAATCCCTAATCAGAGAGAAAAACACTCTCACCCGAATGATTAATCTCCCTAACCACTCGAGCCTGATTACACAAACAACAGCAAGAACTCACAATACTAACTCAGAAATCTCACAAAGGAAAAACCCAACATTGTTATACGTTTCTGCGCAAAAGGTGAGTTTACATATGGTTGACTAAGAGACTGATTCTGGCCGTTAGATCTGGAGTGCATCCTGCAGTCTGAATCCATTTTGGTTGCTTTGTCTAAAACAATGTCTTACTTCTTTACCCAAAACGACACTGTTTCAGGCTTCCATTTTAACAATCTCCACCTCAGAAGCACTGGAAACAGCCTCTTTGTGCAGCTTGCTCAGTTCCATTCCGTCATGGCTCTTTATCACTCCAGGCTACTTGACATACAACATGTTCAAGTAGTGCTTGAACTTGGCTGGAGTGATTATCTTGGTGCCCATGTCTGCTGGATTTTCTTCTATGGGTACCTTCTTAAGTTCAATGATTCCACTTCCAACTTGATCCCTCACAAAGTGATAGCGGACATCCACGTGTTTAGTTCTTTCGTGATACACAAGATTTCTGCTTAGATGAATCCCACTCTAACTGTCAGAATACACTGTCACCTTTCCACCAATTAAATTTGCCTCTGTCAGGATTCCTTTTAGCCATAAGGCTTCTTTAACTGCATCAGTTACTGCAATGTATTCTAATTCTGTTGAAGACAGTGCTACTATAGGCTGCAGTTGCGACTTCCAGCCTATACAATTTCCACCCAATGTAAAAAAATATGCTGTAGTTGATTTCCTACTATCCTTATCTCCTGCAAAATCAGCATCTACAAACCCAACCAGATCAAATGCAGTATTTCTTTTACAGTATTCAAGCCCAACATAAATGGTACTGTTTATATATTTCAGCATCCATTTTAAAGCTGTCCAATGTTCCATACCAGGGTTAGACATATATCTACTTAACATGGAAATGGAAAAGGCTAAGTCTGGCCTAGTACTAATCATGGCATACATCAGTCACCCCACAACATTAGCATAAGGGACAAACTCCATTCTCAACAATTCTGACTTAGTTTTGGGACATTGGGACTTACTAAGTATAAACTTACTAGTTAAGGGCATTGAGACCAGTTTGGCACCAGCCATGCCAAACTTTGTGACTAGTTTCATTAAATAGGATTGTTGCTGCAGCCTAAGTTCACATCTCTTCCTATCCCTATTTATTTCCATGCCTAGAATTTTCTTGGCATTCCCTAGGTTTTTCATGTTGAATTCAGTATTTAACTTCTTCTTTAATTCACTAATCTGGGTTTTTGACTTGCTAATCAACAGCATATCATCAACGTATAACAGTAAGTAAATAGGTAGATCATTATCCATTTTAAAGTAGAAGCAACTGTCATATTGACTACTAGTAAATCCTATACCTATTATAAAGGTGTCAAACATTTTGTACCACTGCCTAGGAGACTATTTTAACCCATATAAGGACTTTTTAAGAAGGCATGCATGGTCTGGGAACTCAGGGTCAATAAACCCCATAGGCTGGCTCATATAGATTTTTTCCTCTAGTTTTCCATTAAGGAATGTAGTGGTGACATCCAATTGCTCTAGGTCTTGGTATGCAACTACTGAAAACATCATCCGAATTGTTTTGTATTTTACCACAGGAAAGAAGACTTCATTGAAGTCTATCCCCTCCTTTTGGGTGTACCCCTTAGCCACAACTCTGGCTTTATACCTAGGTGGGTCAGCTATGGAAATGTCATCTTTAAGTTTGAAGAGCCACTTTCATTGGGTCAGCTTCTAGTTACTTGGTTTTGGAACCAGTGACCATGTTTCATTTACCTTTAAAGACTGCATTTCCTCCTCCATAGTTGTTCTCCATTTGTCCCTATCTCTGGATTCCATGGCCTCTTGATATGTCTCAGGTTCAGACCTCAGCACCTCAATACCAGCAAGAAGGGCAGTGTAAATTAGTTCTGTGTATGAATACCTTAAGGTTGGTCTTACCTCTCTTCTTGTTCTGTCTCTGGCCAGCTGATAATTTGTCAGTTCATGTTGTTGTGGTTCTAGGAATTCTTCTGCTTCTTCATCTTCAACTTGATCAGGTTCCTCTGGTGCAGTTTTAATTTCAGGCTACTGGGGTGCTTATGCTTGTGCTTGTGCTTGAGGTGGATTTAATTGTTGGGTTGTGGGCTCCACCTTAATCTGAGTTCTGACTAGTGACTGTTTCTATGCTTTTGGTGTTACCTGTATCAGGGTTAGTTCCTCTACATGGGAATACTCCCTCATTAAACACAACATCTTTGCTCACTATGATCCTGATCCTTGGTGACTCTCTATCCCATAGCCTGTACCCTTTTGTGCCCTCAAGATATCCAAGGAACACACAACTAGTTGATCTTGGTTCCAGTTTTCCCCCTATTGTGTGTGCATATGCTACACAGCCAAACACTTTTAGGTGTCCTAATTCTGGTCTTCTTCCAGACTATCTCTCTTCTGGATTGATTAGACCTATGGTTGTAGAGGGGCTCCTATTCACTAAATATGCTACTGTAGAGAGTGCCTCTCCCCAGAATGTTTTTGGGAGGTTTGAAGTGATCAGTAGACACCTAACTTTATCTAGGAGTGTCATATTCATTCTCTAAGCAACCCCATTTTGCTGTGGGGTATTTCTGACTGTCCTATACCTCAAAACCCCCTGTTCACTATAGAACTTGTCAAACTCCAGGTTACAAAACTCAAGCCCATTGTCAGTCCTAAGGGCTTTGACCTTTCTACCAAACTGGTTTTCAACTAAAGTTTTCTAGTCTATAAACTTTGCTAGGGCTTGATCTTTTGACCTAAGTAAGAATACTTAGACCTTCCTATTGTAGTCATCTACGATTGAGAGGAAATAATTGTTTCCACCATGAGATTTAACCTTTTTTGGCCCCCATAAATCAGAATGTAAATAATCCAGATAGTTGTTTGCTAGATGAACTCTCTTAGGAAAACTGTTCCTATGTTGTTTACCAAGTACACAATTTTCACAGAATTCTAAACTAGTGACAATATCTTTCACAAACTGTCCTTGCCTATTTAGAACATCCATCCCCTTCTGACTTATATGGCCTAACCTCAAATGCCACTTTTCAGTTACTGATAAATTTGGAGAACCAAGAGTTGTGTTGTTACAATCAGAGTAGAAACTACCACAAAGTATATAGAGACCATTTTTCTTCTCTCCTGTCAATACAAGTTTTTCATTCTTATAGACATTCAACCACCCACTGTTGGCCTTATAGCAGCATCCTGCTTCATCAAGGGTGCCTAGAGATATGAGGTTTCTCTTTAAGTTAGGGATATACCTCACTTTGGTTAACCTGATCAGTTTTCCCCCACTTAAGCTAAGGGTTATGCAGCCTGTTCCCTTAACTCTACATGCTTGGTTGTTACCTATGTACATAGTCTCATGTTCAGAATCCTCAAAGTCTTGGAACTAACTCCTATTGGGGCTCATATGGAAAGTACAGCCTGAGTCTAAAACCCATTCCTTTGTAGTGTCAGATATTGACACTGTTAGAACTTCTGGTTCATCCATTTGATTACTAGTGGTGGCTAGGTTGTTCTCTGTATTTCCTAGTTTTTGTTTCTTCTTCCAGTTAAAACATTTTTTCTTTAGATGGCCTTTCTTGTTATAGTAGTAACACTTTCTAGCTTCTGTTTTGGTTTTATTGCTTCCCTTCCATTTCTTCTTATTCTTACCCCTCTGACTAAGCTGGAATCTTTTACTAGACTGACCAGGTTCTAATCTACCCTTCATAAATAGAGTGCTATTGTTCCTTTTAAGGGTTTTAAGCTCTAATTCCCTAGCCTTAAGCCCAGCAACTATCAAATCAACATTGGGTACAGTATCGAAGTACTGGAAAACATTTTTGACTACTTGCTAGTCATCAGTTAAGGAGTTTAGCAATATCATGGCAAGACTTGTCTCTCCTAGTTCCTGGTCTGTGCCTTTCAAAATCAGATTCATCTTAAGAAATTCATCTAAATTTTCCTCAATAGACTTCGAATTATCCATTTTATATGAGAATAAGGCTCCCTTTAAGAAAGCCAAATTCGGTGCAGACTGCAAGGCATATAAAGATTCTAATTTACCCCATAAACTAAAAGGAGTTTTGAATCCATCTACCTTCTGAAGTACACTGTCCGAGAGATTCATCACGATCAAGTTGTATGCTTCTTCGTCAATCTCTTCCTCCTTCTTCAGTCTTTCCTCTAACCATTTCTTGGGATCCTTTTCCAACGCGATTACAACCTTGTTGTGTGAGAGAAGAGCTTTCATCTTCTTCTTCCAGCTCCCGAAATCGATCTTCCCATCGTATTGGTTTATTTCTAGTCGTGTAGTGGTGTTTGTGGTCATTTTTTATTGGTTTT